GGAAATGACCTCAAAGACGTAAAACAAGGCTCACAAAACCACTGACCATTTGCTATGTCCAAAGCCCTACAGAGTGTTGTGGCCAGTAACCTGACCTTCCAGCCCAGGACTTCCAGACCTACAAACGCTGCCCCTTGCTGCCGCCCTCCCCAGGCTGGGACCCGACCTGGGTGCCCGCTGGAGCCATGCTATACAAACAGAAGAGGCCAAAGCTGCAATTTATACACTGAGGAGGACTTGATATGCAGAGTGAAGAACAGGTTTCTTGAATATGACTATAAACATAATTCAAAAGCTTCCTCATTCCCTTTATTCATTCCTGTTCTTTTTCAAAAATGACAAGCATATAAGAATAAATGAGAACGTAAAGTTTGAGTGTGGTTTTCCAACAAAATTCTTCTGTTTTTATATCCTGGTTCAGGATATATTCGAGACCTATGAGATTTCCTTTCGTGGCCTTACTTGGAACAAGCAGCCTTCTACAGCACTCTATAAATCACTGCCAAGATTAGCAGACACCTCACCACACACAACAGCAATAATTGCTCAACAACTGGCCAAAAACGAACTGCCTCGGGGAAGAAGTCACTTTGTGATAGGTTTGTTGGATTTAAATTAAAATCATCTAACCGGTCACGTAAACACTTTAGAAACACAACTAAAGAAATTTTTTTTTTACCTATCATACCAAATCCTTTGTATTTATGCAATACTATTCTTTCTTTCTTTTTTTTTTTTTTTTGCAGGGGGGAGGTAATTAGGTTTACTTATCTATTTGATTTTTCAGCGGAGGTGCTGGGGATTTGAGCCCAGGGCCTCAGGCATGCTGAGCATGTGCTCTACCGCTTGAGCTACACCCTCCCTGCTTGCAACACTATTCATATATAGTGCTACTATATTTACATATTTATATCATTCTGTTTGTACTTATATACCACTACTATACAATATAATTCTCTTACATTTATATATTATGTTGAAGCTCTTCTTATTAAATGTTTCACTGTTTCCTTAAATGAAAAGTTCCACGTCAGCATTTCTGAAAAGACAATTCTCTTTTCTCTGCATGTACTATTACAGAATTGAGCAGCCTTCAATATATATACTTTGCTTAGTAGTTTTTTGAAGATTCTACCTATAGTTCAGACCTCTTAAAATCTTAATTTTTGTCCTAGAGAGGTTGTGTTAAAACTGACTGGGATTTAGCTTCAAGTAATTAGGGAATTTAGAGATCGTTAATATAATCACTTATGATTAACATGTTCACTCTGAAGGGAACAACAGTAAGAGTTCATGACACGATAACACAGGCACACCTTCAACAACAACTCATATGGAATCAACACATTTTGTGCCTAGTATGTTTTCGAAGCAAGATACTTCTAGGAAACAGTGATAATCAAGGCCTTGAAATACTTGGGGTTAAAACAGACAGAGACACCTATACCTTCCACCCGTAGCTCTTAAACCAGCCAATACCACCGTCAACAGAAAACCGAAGAAGTGTTTACAGCATAATGACTTAAACATGCAAACAAGTATCAAATTTTTAAAATCTCAGTTAAAAAGGTTGGTTTGGGCTTGTTTGTCTATTTGCTTTTTAAGTCAGATTCAAATGAAGGTGTACCTTAGGAGTAAAATGAATAATGTTTTTTGAAGCAAAACATATCACAGATGAACAAGTGCTATTAAGTTTCAATTTTCCTGAAGAAAAATTAGCTTAACAGATGGAGAAACAAGTTTGTTTGTTTTTATTTTCAAGTAATCTCATTTAGTTGTGACCTAAGAGGAAAGAAAACAGGAAACACTTTTTCTAGCTATACCGCTCACAAATCAATTTCCTTTGTGCGTGGTGGGAAAGAATTACCTTTACAGTCACAAGAAAACACACTTGTAATGGACAGCAAGTCTTCCCAATTATATAATTTAAAGAAAGAACAGTTGGCAATTAAAAATTATTTGTCCATAAGACAAACTTTTTCATTTTTTTCCCTTTTGATAACTTTGAGAAAGACCTACCAGTCACAGGGAAATGACAGACCAATAATGGTCAATTATTGGTGATGAGGGTGTTATTAGGTTTAAAAGCTAAAATATATCTCATTATTATGCCATTTTAAGAATTACTTAAAAATACTTGTTTTAGCATTACAAAATTAATGCAGATTTTTAAAAATAAAATTTAGTAGCTATATGTAAGCTACTAAATTTATATAAGGTAAAATATTCATATATGGTAAATACTCATCTTAAATTATTTTTTAAATGATGAATTATAAAATATTAGCATTAAATGTAATTACACATAGAAAAATAATTTAAGGCCCTGTTACGGACTGAAGTGCGGTCCAGTCCCACCACCCCACACACACCCAACCCCGTCCCCACTAATTTTGAAGCCCTAATCCCAAGAGGCCTTAAGGGAGGTACTCCAGGCTAAATGGGGTCGTAAGGGTGAGGCTCTAATCCAACAGGACTGATGTCCTCACAACAAGAGGAAGAGATGCCTGCGACCTCTCTGCGAGCCCACAGAAGCAAGCCGCGTTGGTGAGCAGGAGGCTGTCTGCAAGCCAGAAAGGGAGGCCTCAGCAGAAGCCAGCCACACCGACACCCTAATCTTGGACTTCCAGCCTCTAGATCTGGGAGCAAATAAACGCCTGCTGTTTAAGCCACACATTCTGTGGCACCTTGGGATGGCAGCCTGAGGTGACGAACACAGGCCCCAAAACCTGCATGGGACTGTAACGGAGAAGGACAAGCGTGACTCCGTGTCGGATGTGCTCCTTGTCTCTGGCCTTCCTGCTGCCGCCTGTGCTCAGCCGTGCGGGCTCTGTGCCTCTTGTAGGAGAACGTGGCCTACAGCCTGAGATGCACACGGCAGCCCGCTCCCAAGGCGCTGGCCTTTCAGGGACAGCACACGTCCACAAATACAGAGAAAAAAAGTTCAGAGCAGAGAATACCTTTTGTCTCGTTGGAGGTTTATAGGAACTTCGTGCCCAGACCTACGTGGACAGCTGCAGGAACAAAGGATTCTTCCTGGCAAGAAGTTTACAATAACCAGCCATACCCCTTCTCTCCTTTTAGTATAAGGAAGCCTGAACTCTAAATCGGGTAGGATGGTTCTGTGGGACACCAGCCCACCATCTGACTGATCTGCTGGCTTTCCAAATAAAGTTGCTATTCCTTGCCCCAACAACTCCTCTCTCAATTTACTGTCCTGTAGTGCCGGGAGCGGCAGAGGCTTGGACTGGGTAACAAAGTTACAAATCTGAATAAATAATAACATAGCAAATTAATCTTTTTGCAAACAGACATCTGTTTTACCCATTTGAAAAAGGTAACGTCAATATTTAAATGGGAATACACACACACACACACACACACACACACTAAATTTTACAAGAGAAATAAGAAGTCTTTCAAAGCAAAAACACAATAATTCTATTATTCTTCACACAAACAATAATCTGAGATTATGCTCATTCCATCATGCAAATATATTATACCTCAACAAGTAACCAGTGATTTGACCAGTGACAAGATACAATAAAAGATTCAGGGCCAATTCTGTCTTGCTGAGTATATTTAAAATTAATAAATTGGTCCACCACTCCGAAAAGGGCTGTAAAGGTAAAGTTGTTGAAAAGCAGCGCCCTCCCATCTTCGGAGAGCCGGCCACCCCTGGGAAGCAGGACGCACGTCTGGACTGGCTGACTGCCCTTGCTCGGGGCCCTCCCCACCAGTCACCAGGAGCACCTCCAGTTTCTCACTGCCTGCACCCCCCACACTGACTGGTCTTGCAAGGGGAAAGCACTCCCGCCTTGTCAACACCTTGTCACATTCCCTTCTCCAGGCCTGCGCTCACGCTATCCTCTCCCACTGAAAGGCAGCCCTCCCCACGATCAACTCTTCTTCCCAGTGACAGTCTTTACTGCCCAGCCCAAGTGCTTCCTCCTCCATGAAGCCTCCCTGAACCCACATCAGGAAATGATGTGACCTAAAGTGTACTTTGCTTATTCTTTTCTTTTCATTTTCTAGTTGGATGTAACTTTATGTAAAAATCTTATTTAAATGTCCTTGAGGTAGGCAGCCTCTAGAATGGCCCTTAACAGCCCCACCTCTTGGTATTCCCACGCTAGCGCAGTCTCCCCTTGAGTGTGGACTGGGCTCGGTGAATGTTTCCAACAAACAGGAGATGGCAAAAGTGACAGGACATTGCTTCTGAAATTAGGTTATGAGAAGACTGTGACTTCTGTCCCAGCTTCACACCTGGGACACCAAAATCCACAGATGCTCAAGTCCCTTATAGAAAATGGCCTAGGATTCGCACATAACCTCCACACACCCTCCCATATGCTTTAAATCAACTCTAGATTCCTCATAATAACCAATACAATGCAAACGCTATGAAAACAGTTGTAAATACAGTGTGAACGCTATATGAATAGTTGCCAGCATGGCAACTTCAGGTTTTGCTTTTTGGAACTTCTTGAAAATTGAAAAAAAAATGTATTTTCCATCCATGGTTGACTGAATCTACGGACACAGAATCCAGAGATCTGGAGGGCTGACTGTATGATTTTTAAGGGATGAGAAAACCGATGCTCAGTAACACCAGGCAGTCTGCAACTACATGGCTAAGAAAGGTCAGAGTCTGGACTGCAATCTACGCCTGTCAACCATGGCACAGAACCCATGCTGCAGAAAGGTTCCATCTGCACAGTCAGGCACCTAGATAGACGGTCTCTGAATCCATGGTGTCAAAGTATGTGTTGCAGCAAGCACCTGAGCTTCATCTCTCAGACATGTAATAACACGCACATGAATTAAAGAGAAGAAACTTCATTTCCTAAGAGATAATACAGACATTCATTCAAGGAATAAAAACATTCATTCATTTCAACTGCTGCGAAACATAAATATCTTCTCTAGGAACAAAAATGTAAAACGTCATTATCTCTAAAAATTATTTTTCCAAGTCTGGTCAATTTTTCACGTACCTTCTTGAGCAGCAAATGCTTGACTAGCTGCAAGGACTTTTGTTAGTTCTGGATTATACCTTGTTCCCTCTGGAAAAATCACAAGATACATCTGTGAAGCCATAAAGAAAATTTGGTTTGTTTTGTGTGAGTGTTTTCGTTGTTGCTGTTAACTCAACAAGCTAACCCTATTGATGCTAAGAGAGTATGTCCTATGGTGGGAAAAAAAAGTGGGTATTCAGTTACCTGTGACCTTCATTGTAAGCAGAACAACCAAAATGCAAAAACTCAATTAAGTCTTAACATAACATACACTCTATTTAAAATGCAGTCCTACATTCACCCTTGGTAGGTCAGTCATTAAGAATCTAAAAACATTTCTAATTGCATAGCAATATTCACTAATTAAAAAATTGATCATGAATTGCTGACTCATACAAAGTCTCAATTCATTAATGAAAGAGGTCTTCTTTTCCCCCCTGCTAAGATTCTGCAAAGTGACTTTTAAAAAAGTGCAAATTTTAGACATCAGGGTCCTTATATATTAAAATTAAAAGTATGTCTCGTTTGAGGGAAACCATATGTAAATATATAAATTTCTGCAACATAAAAGGTAATAAGTGTTCATATTTCAAAAGACATGATGTTCTTATTTTATAGAACTCCCTTAATGCATTTCCAATGACTCAACTTATAAGTAGTGTCATAAATTACAATAATGCACTTACAGATGAAGTTATAAATCAAGCTGGAAGTTTACTAAATAATCAGTCTAAATTTTACATTTTTCTGCTCCAGGAAAGTAAAAACAGAAATGGTAAACTATACAGTGAAAAACTCCTAACTTTAGAACTGAGTTACAAAAACTACACCAACATGTTTAATTGACAGCCAAAAGACAAAAACATGACATTCATGTCAAATCTTTTCATATACAAACAGAACATACGAAACAAAGGGACAGAGGAGCTCATGGGAGAAAAGTATGTTCACTTTACCCCTCCTCACCAGATCCCAGGCAATACCATCTCCCTGACGTCCAGTAAAGAAGCATTCCCTTATCTCAGTGATTTCTGATTGTCAAACCCCTACTAAACGAACCTATGTGAAAATTCGTACTTTTTCCATTAGACAAACATGATCGATCTCTTCCAAATTTCCATCTGAAAGGCTGGTATAATGGTGGCGCTGCAATTTTGCATTTTCAGCTTCCACGCAAATACAGAAGCTTTTTATCCATCCATATACATAATTTTTAGAACCTATTATCTTTGCCTAACTTAGAAATTAGTCAACTGTGTTACATGGGGAAAGCCACAGGACAACAATTAGCACTCTCCAAAGAGAATATTGAGATCTCTTCGGCGGGGAACAAAGTGTTTTTATAAAATAATATATTGAATGATTCTTCATTTGTGGATATTCATACTTCTTTGGCTTTTCAAATAACTCAATACATACAAGAATCCAAATTGACTCTGACAGACAGAAAACAGTTGTTTCTTCTAAAACTCAATCTGACACAAAGGAAGAGGCATTAGAGGAGCTCTTAGGTAGCTCAAGGGTAAGGTTACAGTTCTCTATTTATAGACTGAAGACACCAAATGTTCTCACTCCCCCTCTTTAAGGTCAGTAGTGACCACCTCCAGCACAGGACAGAACCGCCTGCAGCAGGCTTTCTGACGGCCAAGAATTGCTTACCCATATTTAGAAGGTTTTTGTTGCCTCAACAAAACTCTGAATTATCTTTTACACGTGGCATAGTACAGTTTCAAAATAATTCTTAAATTCTAACTTAATTCTTAAATTTAAAAAATGACAGTTGTTAAGAAAGATAATAAAAACGAGAGTAGTCTTACTGGAGTCCTTGCGTCCATGTACCTCTGCAGCTTCCTCCTCATCTCCTTTTCATTGAATTTGGCACTTCTCTTTACGTAGATTCCTCCATGCTGCCGTGTTAAAAAAAAAGAGAGAAAAAGTAGTTACTATTAAAATATCCAATGGCCAGTCATCAAAAGGGTAACTTTATTCCCAAAGAATAAAAAAAAATTACATTTTAGGAATTCAGTGATATTTAAAACATTCAAACAGTAGCACCTAAAGAACATTAGCTGAAATATTTTTCTATATAATTCAAAGAAAACTGTGTGTGACATCTCATTGGAAAATGCATGAACATTTAGTTTTGTTGGTAGGTAATGCTTTCTTTCTTAAAATATGTATTTTTAAAATCAAAGACTCAATCGGATGGATTTAAGCTCTAAAGTTTTCACTGACTTATTATGGAAAATAATTTAAAATATCCTTACAATTTCAACAAACGCTTTCTTTCGGGATTTTAAAAACGGACCCAGCTACATACATTTTGGTAGCACTATGAGGAACTGAATTGTGTTCCCCCCAAACTCTTATGTTGAAGCCCTAACCCCCAATGTGACTGTATTTGGAGACGGGGCCTTCAGGAAAATAATTAAGGTTTAACGAGGTCATAAGAGTGGGCCCTGAGCCGATAGGAATGGCTCCTTGTAAGAAGAGATTAGGACACAGGCGCCTGCATGCACAGGAAAGACAGGGAGCAGGAGGCCGTCTGCAAGCCCAGGAGAGAGGCCGCAGAGAAACCACCCTCCTGACGCCTTGATCTTGGACTTCCAGCCTCCAGAACTGCGAGCAAACACATTCTTGTCATTAAGCCACACACAATGTGTGACATTTTGCCATGACAGCCCTAGCAGATTAACACAGGACTCATCCTGAAAACTAAGGTAACCGCAATTAAACCTCACGAGTGTACTTCACTGAAATCCTGCATCAGGTCAGCAGTCTTTTTTCTGCATTCCTCTGTGCTAATTTGAATGCATCTGTAAAATAAACTGACTGACTGAATTTGATTTTTGTCTTCATGAAGAATATGAGTAAAAGGAACTGAAGAGGAGCGGGCAGGGGACAGGATAAAGAGGAAAGAAAGGGTGGCCTGGCCTGTTCTAAATACTACTGAAGGATAATAGTGACTTTTATATTTAAAACCACAAAGGAAGAAATAATAAATACAAGCACACACACACACATATATATTTGTTTTCATAAAAGGTTATTACAAAATATTGAATATAGTTCCCTTTTTTTCTTTCTTTCTTTTTTTTTTTAAAGATTCCACATATGAGTGATATCATATGGTGTTTTTCTTTCTCTTTCTGGCTTCCTTTTAAAGGACATTTTGTAAAAATAACATATATTGAATATTATGTACCTGACACTCATGCTAAGCACTTTACATATATAGCTCACTATTTTTTTTTATGTCCTACAGATCATAATTACCTTTATTGTTTGTGTCTTAAGATAACTATCAAATTCTATGCCTTTACATGTTTCTACTTGTTTGATTTTTGTACATTTGCATTTTTGCTATTTAATTTAATGATCTGGGTAATCAGATACGTATATAAAATCACACCACTAAAAATGCCAAATAAAATTATTTCAGTTTAGAATAAGCTATTAAACCCATAAAAATAAACCAGGAAACTCATACATTTATATTAAGTGTATGTTGAATTTTAAAATCTAAAATTTCCATAAGCTACACATATATATATATATATATGAAAAAAGCAGCAAGGGAAAATGTTACCTGAGAAAAATAACAGCCATACAGTGGAAGCCATTTCAGCCCATCTTTCAGCACGTAGCGCACGTGTCCCAGAGCATTCTGCCTGATGGCCAGAATATCGGCAATAATCCAGTCAACTGCAAAGACACAACCCGTCAGTGCGCCACGCGCCACGCGATCCCTGCGTGAAACCCAGCCCTCCCTTCAGAAAGCAGGAAAAGCCTCTTCACAAGGCTGTACGAGGAAGAGGCTTGGAAAATATTAGGATTAGAATGTCAAAGTCACTTAAAAAAGAACATCCAACAACCCCAGACATTTGAAAAATATAAATTCTAGCGGTTTTTTAAATTTGTTTTTTGTTGGTTTCTGTTAATTTTTGCATTTCTTGAAAAGCTTCTTATTTTGAGGATAAAATGCAAAAGTCACAAACCATCAGAGTAGTCCAAAAGCAGCATGAACAAAGAATAAAATAAGCTCCTCCAATTCTTCCGTTGCTGTTGTTGCTGACTCTGTTTTATTCTTTGGGGAAGTACACTGATGTCCTATTTAGGCAGCATGACTGGGGTTGAGCTCTTCCACTAAACAGATTTTTTCCCCAGAAATTTCACCTCTTCAAATGCAGCCTTCAAAAACTTACAGCCAGACTCTATGTATATCTTTCTAAAATATATGAAGCTTCTCTAATTCTTAAAGTCTAGAAAACATGAGGAAATTATAAGCAAAAAATGGCTAAATGAAACTGCCATGTGCAACTAAATATTCTGTACATACTAATATGTTTAAAAAAAAAAAAAAAGGCCAGGACACTTTGTCTCTCCCAATGAGTCTCAGGGCACAACAACAGGTTACAATGGAATTCAAAACAAAGCTCTCTCAAAGCTTACAACTATTCTGGGCACAGATGTGCTCTTTACAAAACCAAAGGACACGTAGCCAGGCTGCTAATAACCCTAATTACATAGATACATTATTACCAAAGCGTCAGTAAACAAAAACAAGAAGGCATGAGTGAGTGGGCAACAATAACAGCAAAAAGCCTGTAGGAAGAAATAAGTTGTTAATTGACCTTCAAGCAGAAAAAAATCTGATCAGAGGGATCAGCCCTTCCTTGCCAAAACAAAGAAACAGAAAGCAGCAAACTGTGCAGAAGGTGGCAAACAGAAGAGACGGTGTAAAGAGATGAGAGGAAATAAAATGAAGAGGGCATCTGGTGAAGGGTCTTGAAGACCAGAGATCTGGATTTGAAAGGAAGCAGGGGCCAACCTCCCTAGTTCTTCATAAGAATGAAGATAATAAAAATGAAATGTGATGATGACTTTTCGGTACTACAGATGAGTGGCAAGATGAATCCTTGGGAAAAAATGGATATGCAGTCCTACAGTCACAGGTGTATTCAGGGCCAGGGAAATGAGAACAAAAGGGATAAATCTGAGGAGGAAAATGTTAAAAAAAAAAACAAACTTGTAGAAAATAAAAGCCAAGAAAACGAAGGCGTTACAATAAAGTTTTAACCAAAGGGGACAGTTTGCCACAGGCTCACAGGATAATTAACTCTCAGCTGTCTGAAATCCTTTTGGTGATGCACCCTACTGGACAGAATATCCCAAAGAAGATTTAGCTAACGAAGACACTAAAAAGCATCCTTTTGGAGAAATACTTTATCAATTATTATAAATCTCTTTTTAACCTTATCATTCGTAAGTTAACTATTTCTTGATGACTTAAGAGTTACAATCATTATAAATAAAGTCTATCAAGGCGCCCTTTAAATAGTGACGCAAAGATTTCCCCTAAAGTAAATCACCCCGCAGCTAGACACCTACACTATGGAACCATCAACGACACTTTTCTCTAAAGTGTCTCACTTCCTCTAGAAGCCCTCTCCCTATCTCCTTCCCTCTGGGTTAAAGCATCTAAACGGACACTGATAAACACATTTCTCTCTAACCACATCTTGGAAACCAAATAATCAAGCTTGTTGTAACTGTACCTCATGTAAAAGTAAATATTCACTCCAGAATAAATTGTGAGAATTAAGTGTATGGTTTCCATGCTTAAGTACATCCTGGAAGATTTGTAGGGGTACAAGGCTAAAAGCAAGATTTGGTATCTTTTCCTGGAACAATCATTTTTTTTAATTTGGAGGAATCGGAAAAATGCATTTTTATATTAAAACACACATGGTTATATTATAGCCTAGGATACATCTTCCAAGAAATTTTAACAGAAAGTGTAAAATTTATAAAACATGTCATGTCTATAATGGACTGTTCTGGGCTGTGCCCTTAAACTTTTGGAAATTTCAGTGGAAAGTTTTAAGAACTAACTTAAGTAGTCAAAAGACATGCGCTTTGTACCATCAATTTTTGCTATTGAATAATCTTTTTTCACTTTTTTATAATTCTCAACTAGGCTTCAGATAGGAGACCCTAGACTGCAGCCGAGTTACTGACAGCTGAGGTGTTACCTTTATAATAACTATCCACATTTTGTTTTCTGGCGCAAATAACTTAATGAAGATATCAAGGGATGTGGCTGGATAAGAATCCTTCCACGGTGATCCAGCCAAAGTAGTGCCACTGTTCCCATCAACTTGGGAGAGAGGAGAGGAAGGCAGTGAGGTGAGGCAGCAAGAAAAGCGAGGCTTTTCTCATCTATGTTACTAATGTAAGGACAGTTCCCAGTCCCTAAGGGTGTTGTGCAAAGAGATACAGCACACGAAGCCCCCGCCTATCAGAGCAGGCACGCCCTCCTGACTGGCTACCGCTCCTATGGTTATGATCTCTAAGAGATTAACGAGCTAGCCTATGAAAATGCCTAAAAACCTTGAGCCGTAGCGATTACTCACACCTGACCAGTAAGGCTCAGAGAGGAAAAGTCATTTGCCCACAGTCACACAGCCTACTGCAGAACAGTATATAAACCAGGGTCTGACTCCACAGCCCATGTCTTCTTATGAAAGTCTAATCACCATGCATGTTGTCAGTCAAGAAAAATGTCACCCATGCAGCAACGTGGATGCTCCTGGAGAATGTCATTCTAAGTGAAGAAAGCCAGAAAGAGAAAGAAAAATACCATATGAGATTGCTCATATGCAGAATCTAAAAAACAAAAACATAAATACAAAACAGAAACAGACTCACAGACATAGAATACAAACTTGTGGTTGCCAAGGGGGTGGGGGGTGGGAACGGACAGACTGGGATATCAAAATGTAGAATAGATAAACAAGATTACACCGTACAGCACAGGGAAATATATACAAGATCTTGCTGTGGC